CTACGGGGGCCGGGCAGCGCCGGGGCGGGGCGGGGCGGTATAACGTACGCACGTGCGGGTGTGTAACAAATGCACGCACCCCCATATTCACACATACGTTTACACACACACACATGCGCACAGCCATATGCACACACCGCCATATATACATACACACGCATACCCCCCCATATGCACACGCACACAGAAGGGGGGGGGGGGTTATGCACAGAAACACACCTGCGTCCAACCATTCGTCACAGTAACTTGGCAATAAAGATGCACCTCTCATTGCACTCAAAAGCTTGCCTAAATGTGTCACAACCGTGTGCTGGGCCCAGGAAAAGATAATCACTCGCCTCTTCCGCATTTCTTGTGCCATCAGGGAGGGCTACAACGTTCTGACATCTGCACGCAGCCAGCAAGAGCACGGGTTTGTCTGCTTTATGGTCAGGGTTTTGCCATCCCGCAGCTGAGTGCCTGATTATTAACCTGACAAAGGGTTTTTAAACCCGAAAGCTGTCTAAGAAAAATGTTTCCACTATTTAAGTGGTCTAAATAAAAGAGATCAGATTCACTGAAAGAACCTTGTCTGATTATTAACCTCACACACCTTTGAAGCATGATGTTGGCTGCTACTTTAATAAGGGAGCCTTTAAATGAATATACATATTCTAATTTATAATAATGCATATATAATATATTATTATATATTGATTGTATATATATTCTAATATATAATATAAACTAATATATAATATACTTTATCATCCATATAAAATGTAAGGATCCACTTTGTAAAAGATTCCTGGGTTGAGGCAAGGATTTATTTGGGTGATATCTTTGATTGGATCAATTACGTAGTTGGGGTAAGGTTGGTCCAGTAAAGGATACCATTTGAAGAAGTCCTTGCCTCACATTATTTTGGGAACATCACAATTATAACATCACTCTTGCACTTAATACACAGATGCATCTTTGGTTGTGCTGAAATGATACGGACCAGGCAAGGATTTTTGTGGGCGATATCTTTTATTGGGCCGACTATTGGTTGGGATAGACTTAGGCAAGCTTTTGAATGCAGTGCTAGGCGCATCTTTTTTACCAGGTTACATATTAATGAAATTGGGATGAACTGACACAGGTGTTTAAATTGTATACTGTTAGCTAGTTGATGGTCTTGGTCTTTTTTTCAAAGCGGTCTGGTATCAGGACTACTGATCCAATTTGAAAACTTTCAAACTTGGTTAGTTGAATTTAGGTATTGAGATGTATACCTGGGAACTTGCTTGGGTAAGAGGCCTTAGTTTCAGTAGGCACGTCTACATATGCATTAATCTGCCATAATTACAGCACATTTAGTTTAGTACCTGTAACAGGTACTAACTTAATACACTGTAATTGGCACTACCGCTGGCGCACATCTTTTAGTTGACTCTAATGCTCAGTAGATTAATTCTGTGCATTAGTGCATTAGCACAGCTCTCACTATGACGTGCTAATGCACAGTAGAATTAGTCTACTATTATGCTTCTAGCATCTTGTGTAGATGTGCCCAGCAGAGTGAAAGTTTTCAACGTGATTGGAAAAAAAGCTTAATTTAGGGGTCTGATTTCTGGTCCCTGCATTTCAAAACTTTCTTTATCTGTACCCTTTATATTGCTAGTGATACATGCTGAGTCTCACTTGTGTGGTTTTCTTGTTTTGAAGGTTTTGGAATCAAATGAAGAATCAGGGCATCTTATTCTCACCATTATTGTATCTGGCCATTTCTTCATTTCCCAAGGACGGACAGTTCTGGTAACTTCTTTAGTTTTGTGTAATTTAAACATATTGTCTTAAACTCAAGTTAGCATCATTCCTGATTCTGTTTCCCTTCCTCAGTTGAATGTTGTCTTTTATTGGAAGGAGAGTTGTACTGATTTTATCCAGCTTAGCCTATGAAAACTTGCATAGTGGGAGATGTTTTCTGTGCAACTTATCTGAATAATATTTAGAATGTATTTTCTTTTGCTGCTTGTGTTTGCTTCGATTGACAAAATAAGTTGTAAGAGAATGACAGAATCTGTGTGGGTGGTGTTACAAATGATGCTATTTTAAAACAATACACTGGATATTTGCAAGTGTTCCATTTCCCTGCCTGGGTAGATCAGGTAAATATGTAATTAAGTGGAAATGAATAGATGCTTAATATGCTGGAATTACACCTAGTTGTCTTTAATCACAATAAAATGATGCTTATATGATGTGGGCAGGGGGAAATGTTCTTCCAGAACTGACTAATATGGATCTAAACCAAACTTAAGTTCTTACACAGACACAGTCTAGCTATCTTAAAATTGTCTTAGGTCATCGTTTTGTAGCCTGGAATATAAGCATGACCAATTGATGACACCAAAACCTCTTTAACATCATGCACAAGATCCTAGCAAAAGGAGTCCCAGCTAGGACAAATTGATTGTTTTATAACAAACTAACAGATCTGATGAGATAGTGAAAAACATAGGACTCAGTTTGGGGACTACTCTCTTTGGAAGCTACCTTGCTTTGCTGCACCAGGTGTGATCTCCCTTAGTCTGGTTTTCATATATCAGATGTCATTACCAATAGCTGCCTCAACCCTCATTTTCAGTTCCTTTTTAAGTATTTTTCTTACAAGAGCCGCTGAAGTCATAAATAGCCTTATTTCTTTGTCTAGGAGCCATAGCAAAGGTACTAACAGAGTTCAAGAAAAAGCAGCTTCTTCTGTTATTTTCTCGTTCTAGAGAAATGACCTAGGACCTTTGGATATTGCAGCAAATGGCTTTGTATAAACATGAGTTGGTTTGTGACTCCCACCATCAATAAACCACCTAAAATGAAACCCCACAACAACACCCTGTACATGTATGGGATCCTTGCATCACGTGTTTGAGTTCACATAGGATGATGCGTGCCAAACTTTGCTTTGACTATAATCTGTATATATCCTGCTCAAACATCACCTGAACAAAGGGTCACAGTACTGCACCAAGCCTTTCAAGAACTAATTTGGTGGCTGGAGCCAGGGAACATATGGGAAGGAATTCTGTTCTTTGTCCTATTCCCACCTGTAACTCGGATATTCAGGATCAGGTTGGAAAATTTACTTGGACCGCCTGTCAGCGCAAGAAACATCTCAAGTACCTTAAGACCATATAAGCAGGTACGGTTCTTTGAGTAGATGTGATATCTTTTATTAGACAAACTGAGTAGCTGGAAAAAAGTTTTAATAAAAGATATCAACATCTACTCAAAGAACCTTGCCTGCCTATGTCCTTAGATCAACACGGCCATAACCAAAAACCCTTGAGACCATATAAGGAATGTGTTGAAGCTGATGGCTATCACAGTCACGCTGCTTTCTGAAGCAGCAGTCAGCAATCTTTTTAGGTTGTGGGCTAGAGTGACCCAATTTGGGTCATAGGCAGATGGGCGGGCACAGGGCTCCAGCCACTGCCAACACCCTTCCTTGCAGCAGCACACGAAGAGTGCCCGTCTCCATGGTGAATGCTGCTGAAGCCTCACATCCACAAGCTGAATCTGGCCCATGGGCTATAGGTTGCTTACCCCTGTTCTAGAGCATTTCTGTTTGTTCTGTGGTGCACAGTGGTGGAAAACCTGACAGACCAGGTATGTGACACACTATACAAACAAGCAGTCTGTCATCCTCTCTCTGCTGGGAAGTCATTAGATTTAAGAAGTGGTGTTATTACTGTGGAATAATCCCATTAGCTGTGTAGTCAGCAGTAACTTGGCAGTCTTGTTACTTCACAAATTGAAGTCAACTAGAAGTCCTGTTATAGACACTATTAGTGGTTGCCCCTGGTAAGAGACATGATGCAGAAAACAATACTAAATGCCATAACTTCTGTACCAAGAGAGGCATGACTCCCAAGTTTTTTTGCTGGGCCTGATTCTGTGGTGGTCTCAAAGGACTCCTATATCCCTTTGCATCAATTCTCTTTTTCCCCCCAAGATAGGGCCCAAGATCAAGTGGGTCAATACTGTAGTCATCCTTTAAAAGCTAATATAGCTTTGGCTAGTGGACCTTTGGCAGCTGTCCATACAAGCTTTCATTAGCTTGCCAAGGCATAGTGTCTCAGAATTAAGGTCACGTTGTGTACTGAACTGCATAATCATTGCATCTACTGGCATGGAGATTATCTGTCTGGGCAACACTAAGACTGTTAGATTTAAAAAAAAAAAAAATCTTATTCAAAGCCATAAATCTTGTACCACAAAGTGATTGTTCCTCAAAGAGGAGAGGATTCTTCATTTGAGTAATTCAGAACTGGTTTGGCACCAGTGGAGCAACAGGATCAAAAATCTTCGATTACATGCTGATCCTGATGCAGGTGGCCTTGTACTTCTGTTGGGAGATCACCGGGTACGGACTTGGGCCTTTGCGTCCCATTGACATTCACTGGCCTTCTTCTTCTCCAAGTCTGGTGCCAGTCAGCACAATTGGGTCGGTCTTCCTCACTCTTATCTTACCTGCCACGACTTTGATGACTTAATTAATGGGGGGAGGGGTGATGACCCCCCGACCCACCATTGACTGGCACTTGCCCCAGGGCCAGACAAGGTATGCAACAAACTTCTTTGCAAAGGAAAATAAAATTAAAGAAAAACTTGCTGTTTGTATAGTGATTCCTCTCCTGCTGCAGGGAACTCAGAGGCAGCCTCTCTCTTCTCCCTGTCTTTAACCGACAAACTCTTGATCACCGGAGCCACGAGCAAGCGGGTTTTTTTCTTCTTTCACTTGCAGTAATTGATGCCGCGCCAGCTTAATTGACCACCTGCGGCAGCCAATTAATGCAGAAATGTCTCTCTCCTTTTTCTTTTTTTTTTTTAAGGTGTGAGCTCCTCCGAGCTCGCAAGACCCATTATCTTACCTGCCACGACTTTGATGACTTAATTAATGGGGGGAGGGGTGATGACCCCCCGACCCACCATTGACTGGCACTTGCCCCAGGGCCAGACAAGGTATGCAACAAACTTCTTTGCAAAGGAAAATAAAATTAAAGAAAAACTTGCTGTTTGTATAGTGATTCCTCTCCTGCTGCAGGGAACTCAGAGGCAGCCTCTCTCTTCTCCCTGTCTTTAACCGACAAACTCTTGATCACCGGAGCCACGAGCAAGCGGGTTTTTTTCTTCTTTCACTTGCAGTAATTGATGCCGCGCCAGCTTAATTGACCACCTGCGGCAGCCAATTAATGCAGAAATGTCTCTCTCCTTTTTCTTTTTTTTTTTTAAGGTGTGAGCTCCTCCGAGCTCGCAAGACGTCTCTTGCCCCATTCCCGGGGACTTCAGTTATGGGCAGCAGATGGGTATCCACCCTATCTGCCTGCGCCGTCCTCTCCTTCTCTTTCTATTGTCCCATCTCCTGGGACCGGAAATAGCCCCTGGCCACTTAATTAGGCCAATCCGTCTCACCCGGCGAGGTGATAAAGCGATGCTGGGGTAGGTCGGGAGATCCCGTTGCAGCGTGGTCATGCCGCTACAGCTGGACAAATTCCCCTGGCTAGGGGCTCACTCCCGTTAAGTACTCTTGGTCTCTTCACACTTCAGCTCTCTCAAGATCTCCCTTGTAGTAATAATTGCATTTTATGTTTTAGCATTCAGTTATTTTCAAGTCATATCAAATTTTAAAAAGCTTGTTCCATAGTCACGCCCTGGTTAGAGGCTCTGCTCCCTTGTGGGATCTTCATGACTTTGACAATGACATTGAGCTTCCCATTTGAATCAGAGGATGAATGCTTCCTACACAGCCTTACCATCAATACGACTTTGTAATGGTCAGTCATTGAATTGTAAGCTCTCTTGGCAGGGCTGCCTTACATATCCTACCGTACTACTACTGCAGTATTGAGACCATATCCCAACTGCATCCTTAAGGTGATTTCAGTTTTTCACTTGAAACAATCTATTACCTTATCAAAGCCACACACAGTGCTTGAAGATAAAAAACTCTATGCCATTTTGGTAGGCTTCTTACTACTTAGTGACCATTTCATAGATTTCATAGACATTAGGGCTGGAAGGGACCTCAGAAGATCATCGAGTCCAGCCCCCTGCCCCAGGGGCAGGAAGTCAGCTAGGGTCAAAGGATCCCAGCAAAATAGGCGTCCAAATGTTTCTTAAAAGAGTCCAGAGTAGGTGCTTGCACCACCTCTGGAGGGAGCCTATTCTAGGCTTTGGGTGCTCGGACAGTAAAGAAGTTTTTCCTTATGTCCAGCCTAAAATGGTCTTGGAGGAGTTTGTGACCATTTGACCTTGTCATCCCTTGGGGCGCTCTGGTGAACAGACATTCCCCCAGATCCTGGTGTACACCCCTTATATACTTATAAGCAGCCACCAGGCCCTCCCTGAGCCTGCGCTTTTCCAGGCTGAAAAGTCCCATGGCTCTTAGCCTCTCATCATAAGGCTTGTTCTCTTGCCCTCTGATCATGTGCGTGGCTCTCCTCTGGAGTCTCTCAAGCTTTTCCATATCCTTTTTAAATTGTGGAGCCCAGAATTGGATGCAGTACTCCAGCTGCAGCCTCACCAAGGCCGAGTACAGTGGGAGGATGACATCCTGGGAGTTGCTTGAGAAGCATCTATGTATGCAAGCCAGAGTTTTGTTTGCTTTACCACCTGTGACATCACATTGGTGGCTTATGTTCATCTTGTGGTCAAGCATGACCCCTAAGTCCCTTTCGGCCGTGGTGCTAGCGAGCCTGTAAGCATGGTGTGGGTTTTTTCTCCTGAGGTGGAGTACCTTGCATTTTTCCGTATTG